TTTTAATATAACTCATTAACAAATATTTTTTCAATGATCAAGATAAGGGCTTTACTACACGAGTGTTAGCGCCACTGTAGCCAACTTATTCTTTCTTATTCCTAAGAGAAGGATAGGCTAGCAGAGATATGTTTCTGATTTGACCCTTATATTCCTCCATGTTTCTTGCGTTTTATTTTTTTATTATGCCATTTTTACGTTAGTAGCTGTGATTTAGCTTTCTTTGAGATTGATATACAATTTTGGGATAATTTTTAAAATTTCTTAGTTATCTGAATGGACAACTCTGAGCATTACACGACTAGTACTTCTAAGAGGTGTAAATATTGCATACACATGGTCCATTATTTATGCACATTTTTTTCTCTGTTAGTTCCCGGTCGTCACCAGCAATCCTTTCTTCCTGACTGGCAACCACTTTCTTCAGAAAGACTTAGAGAACTTGATGGCGATGTGTTGGCTGGACCGTATCTCCTTACCGATTTTCTCGACCCTTATGGACAAACAGCGCACATCTCTCTGACAAGTCCTGAACTGCTTAAGTGCCGATCAAGGCTCTTCGCTATCCTCATTAAGGCTATGCCATTTTCCTCAACTTCCCTGCATCATAGTGACCTTGTGAATCATGTCATCGTTCATGCTGGGTCGGAAGATGAACCTTATGAATGCGGAGCGGCTGCCCTGGAGAAAAAGAACAAGTCAATCGGCTTATCTGCAGAAGATAATATTCATCATTCGAAGGTGCCTGTTTAAATGATTTCTATTACAGCTGGTTTGATCTTATTTTTGAAACGCGATAGTTTTACTAGGCTCATAATACTTCGTGTGGTCAAGTTTTATTTTACTATCTGGCCCAATCTGATATCAAATAACAATTTACCTTATAGAAGACCTTCCTCATTACTTGTAGGAATTAGGAGAGGCATGGTCTTGAAAATCTACGTCCGCTTATAGCTTTTTTTGCATTCCCAGTGATAGCGTACTACTTCCTGATCTTGTCGACCTGGCTAAGAATCCTATTTTGGGTTCGGATTATAACCAGGCGAAATTGAATTTTAAATCAACCTTAGGTAAAGGGCCTATTTGACTACAAAGCTTGGTTAAATTAAATAAAAGGCAAGGCCTTTCTTCTTCAGTGTTGAGCCTTTGAATATCGAAATGATCTAAGATTACCATCATTCACACGTAAGCTATTTTGCTTGCTCACAGCTTCACATCTAACATATCTCTTGAACTACTTAGTGTGAAGAAGTTGTTGGGATAATGAAAAATGTCAACAATGCATACATAATTGATCTTGTGATACCTGGAATACTACTTCTTATTCTGGTCGTGTGGAGGTGAACAATTGAAGTTATTTTTAATCTTCTTAAGGCAGCTTGATTAGGCTAAACTCATTATAGGGCTAAAGGATCATTATTAGTTAATTTTATTGCATGCAAAAGTAGTTCCTATCAAGGTAATTTGTAAGAAGAAGTTGGTAATAATCAAATTTTATTCATAAATGCTATTTAATTTAAACTCAGTGTCTGAAATCTTTATTGGATAGAGGTATGATTGTAAGGAGTTTGGGCCTAATGGATGAACGATTCTAGAACGAATAATTAAATAGGCTA